TTGCTACCTACAAGTCGCTTACATACACATACTATGACTAGGTCCACTGACCTTTTGTCCTTAGCTCAGCCACACCATGGCTATTTAGAGGTCATCAACTATGTCCGAGCTACTAGATGTTAGGACTATATCACTCGAGCTATATGAGCAACAACTCACCCGAGCTAATAAATATTAACTCACCCGAGCTAAATGAGGGACGACTCGCCCGAGCTACATAAAGGAAAGCCCAACCGAGCTACTCTATATGCTATATCAAGGCCTATCATCAGGGGCGGATCTACATAGAGGCCCGTGCCCCTACGGGATCATGAGAAATTTTTAGTAATATAGTATATATAAGTTATATGTATATATGTATTATTATATTGACATAAAAAAAAAGGATGTTATTAATTATTTTGCAAAGTTAATTTAATATAATAAAATAAAAAAGAAATGTTTAGAATTATTTAACCTTCAACGGTATGTTATTTTTTAAGGTGTGAAATTTATGCGTATGCTATACTCAATTTCGTGTTTATTTCCTTTTCCCTCCCAAAATACATAAATATTATACATAAATGTATATACTATATAGGGATTGGATCAAATGTATTATGTATCCCTATTCTTAAAAATGATAATTTGAGACTCAGCTCTAACTATTAAATACCGAACAAAGTATCTGGTCAATATGTAATCTTTTTATTTTCTTAATTAGTTAACTATTGATTCGGGCGTTGACATCCTTCGTTGACCATTGACCGTCGGTGTTGACCCGTCGACCGTAGTTTGTGCCCCCGTTGTCCTTATATTATGCGTCCGCCCCTGCCTATCATCTCGTACGCATACTAGTGATGCAAAATATGTTCTCTCAAAACCCTATGGTATGTATTTTGTTTACCTATATATATCTATATCCATATATTCATAATAAGAATTACCATTTAAAGCAAAAAAATAGGTCAGAATTTGATGCAGCCTATAAATAGTAAGTTTTATTATTTTTCTATTTTTTCTTTAAAAATCATACAGCATTAAATGCTACCTTAAATCTTGGGCTTTAGTTTATTTTATTATTTAAAAAATCCAGCTAAGATTTATTAAGTGTGTATGTTTTTATTTTCATTTTTTTCTTAGAAACAACGAACAACATTAAAATCTCGGTCTCCATATTTATAAAATCTCAATTCAAAATACAACAAAAGTTTTAAAATCTCGGTCTTTATATTTGTGCCTTCAAAAAAAATATTGAACGCTAAAAATATTATTTAAATTGCATAATCAATCAATTAATCTTAATTTTTAAAAATTACTCTGTTTATTTTTTATTAATATGCATAAAGTAAAAATATTTAATTCATCTTTAGATATGTAATTTATAATCTTGATATACTATCATTTGGTGTAGACATTTATTATATGAATCATAAAAAAATTTATTTCATAAAATTAAATATATTTAAAGAAAATAAGAAAATTTCTTCGGATCAATCGGGTGATTGAATTAGGGTACTGCCCAGGTTGATTGAATTACTTTTAGGTGATATTTAAAATAGTCAAAAAATTTGACACAACTTGGTTGGTCCCAGGTGACTAAGTTATTTATCAGTTCGACCCCACCAAATCGATTATTGAACCTAAACATAAATTTTATAATGAAAATATTTTATTACGTGAATGTAATGTAGTCCAAACTTCAAATAATCGTATTAACAATACTTTTATGATAACATGTTTAATGATTTATGAATATTTATATATTATTTTATTAATATTTATGTGAATTAAATAATATTTTATTATAATATTTATTAATGTACAATAAATATAAGGTTTTCAGAACTGGACCGTCATCGAAACGTGATCTATTATATTAAATCATTTGTGGTTTGTTCAGATTTTAATTTATAAGCATTTTAATATATACATATATATATAGTACTTTTTTGTAATAAATTTAAATAAAATGTGTTACTTAGATATCTAAACAATTTATAATTTCAAATGTTTAAACTAATTGATAAATAATTTATAAATATCTATTTCATTTAAATATGTAATTTTATTTAAAATAATTTTAAATATCATAAAATTTATTTAGAAAATCGTATCGATCCTACCAGTCTAACCGACTGGTGTTGACGGATTCAAGAGCAAATATTTTATTCAAGCGAACTAGACTGGTTATAAACGGTTCTCGGTCCATCCAGTCGGACTGTGTCCAACCCGGTTTAATTAAAAATAATGGATAAATCATAATTAGTGTTATTTATATATTTAATTTATAATACAATCGTAATACTGTTTTTCCGTGCATCGCACGGGCCATGCACTAGTATATATAATAAGAATAGACTTAAATAAAATATAGTAACATTTTCCACAATTATGCATTAATTACATCCTAATTATAGTAATTTTACACGATTCCTTAAAAGAATTTAGAAGCCTTAATTTAATTGTAATCAGTTTTAAATTCCTTTAGCAACCAGATTTATTGTTTTAAAAAGATACTCCATAATATTTGATTGAACACTAAATCCGGTTGTTTGTAATTAATTCGATTTGATTAAAAGTATTATTGTTATGGAATAAAAAATTATGGAGTATCTTTTTAAAAGCAGTATAATTGTGGCATCAAATAATTTAACCACGATTCAATCTTTTTAATTCAATCTATCTCTTTTTAGACTTATCAATTTATTTTAATATAATATAAACTAGTATGAATCCCGTGCGATGCACGGATAACAGATATTAATTAATATTATAAATTAAAAATTCTCTTTAAATAATATTTATAAGTTAACAACATGGAATCAATATGTAATACAATGTACCTATATAATTTATTGAAAATGTTATATAAAATTTAAATTGTAAAAATTTACATAAAAAGTCCATTTAAAATTAATACACATCTCGTGGGTTGCACATAACTGATAATAAATTACATTATATTCATTTCAAAATATGTGTCAGTTCAAAATTTTTATTCACAAATTCGATTTGACTATAATGTGATTCCATAAAATAATTATTTTGATAAAATTTTATCATATATTTAAAAACCTATGTGAATAATAAGTATAACTATAAAACTTATTTTGTTTAATTAATTAAAATGAATTTATTTTTGTATAAAATATCCAAAGCAAAAAATTTAAGTAGTTGAGTAAAAACAATCAGTCATAAGATTTTTTATGCCAAAAATTTGACACTCTTTATCAAGCTAAAAAAATGAATAGTGCATTTCATACAAAACTTATTCGAAATACCGTAACAAAAAAAGAATCAAATCGAGACCCACTAATTATAAAAAAAAATAAAAAAATGACCAGAGATTTTTCTATAAAAATAATATCGATACATATCAGTTCAGATTATTTTGTTGGAGTTACGGTAATTTTATTATGTTAATTTCATACGAAAAATTGAAATAAAAATCGAAACTCACGTTTAAAAACCAATATATTAGCCTTCGCATTGTAGAAAAAAGTACACCGTGTATTGATTAATTGTTCAACAAATTTCTTACAAAAAAAAAAGTTATCAAATAACCTAAATAAATTTGCTCAATTTATACCATATATCGATTAATTTATTACCTATAGAAACAACCATCAATACCAAAAAAAAATTTGTATACTATATACCATATATTAATTAATTCACATGATTTGAGTAATTAAGGTATCTTAAAATATTGCATAATTACTTCCTTAAATAATGAGTCACAATTTCAATAAGTGATCATTTGAAATATACCATAAATTGTTAAATTAATTTCTCAAAATAGTAAATAAATTTTTTTGGAGGGAAATAGTTACTATTTAAAAAATAATCAAACATTTATATATATATATATATAGATTTTCCGTAAAAATGAGAGTATGACTTTACAATAATCATGGTATCAATATTAATAATATAAATGCTAAATAAAATTTAATTATTTGGACTGTACACTTTTTTATATACACACTACAAGAATAATCGTTATTAGCGACACTAATTGTAGTAACAACATCAATGTCGTGACTATAAAATGATTATTGTGAAGGGCATTCGAACATATAGCGACATTATTAGCGACGGTATTTTTTGTGACAACATTTGAACATATAGCGACAAAAAATTTCGCCACTAAAAATGACTATTCTTGTAGTGACATATAAATAAATCACATATTTGAACTTTAAATTTTTGTTTTCACATATAGCTATGCAATATATACAACTTAACTAAAAGTAAAAAATGTTGTAAATATTTCATCTCAATCATGGTAACATTTTTTAATATTGCCATAAAATTCGGTTCATTATTCCACTACTCATGTACACATCTTTTTGTTTATATTATCACAATTTTTTATCATTTTGAAACATTTTTTTATCAATTTATTTATGAAACATTTTTTCCATTTAAAAATTGTGATTTACATGTCCTCCGATTCAAGAATTAAATCTATGTTAAAACATAACAAAAGCAAAATTGTTCCCAATATTGGAATGAATTTGGTATAAAAAAATGAGAATGATTGAAAAAATTAAAATATACTCAAAATCAACACTTTAAGGTAACAACTTTTCCTATATTCTATATAAAATTAACCTTCACTCGATAAATCAAATCTTTAGTATTTATCACAATATTACATATTTTTACTATAATTTTATTTCATGGTGGTAACATTTTGAAAATCAACAAAAAATTAAAGGACTGAGGTGTCTATTTGAATTCCCAATTACCAAGTGGAGAGCAATCTTGGTAAATATCGATCTACGGTTTCCAAGTGCAAATAATTTTGCATGAAAAAACAACGTGATTTTTAATAATGTATGACTTTTTCATGATGAACATTTTACGATTACCTAACAAATGTTCTATGTATTATAACTTATTGATTAATAGCTTTCAATTATAAATTTTACCAAAACAAATACAGTCCGTACATCGCACTGGGTTACGTACTAGTGAAAATTATTATTACTGTTTCTGTTTCTAGATAATACTATTTTTAACTAGGTTGCCACCCAAAATAAAACTTTCATTAACCAAGATCCAATTTCCATGCTAGATATACAACCATAACTTCATCAAGCCATTCGCGATGCTAACTAGAAACAACATAGATATATTTAGGCTTCATCACAAACTTATATATGCATAAACCAAAGCCAACCGAACCAAAAATATCCGATCGGGCAAGAATCACTTATGCATCTTATGACAACAACACATATACTCAAAAATCAAGAAAAAAGAAATCATATGAATGCAAAAAAATAGTATAATTATTATCTATCTAATGAGTGATCAAGTAGCTCCCTTGAGTTTGGTGGTAATGGTGGCAATGTACTTTCCCTGGTGAAACGCCTGCTCGTTTTCAAGCTCAGATGGCTGGCGTGAACCGTCCCCAGCAAAAGTCCCAGCACCATAAGGGCTCCCGCCTTTCACTTTCTCCATTTCAAACATGCCAGCTCCAAATGTGTACCCAATGGGCACAAAGATCATCCCATGATGAACAAGCTGAGTGATAGCCGTCAGTCTGCACGTTAACAATTATATTCACAAACTCTCGACATAGGGAAAAAAAAAAAACGATTGACAATCCGTTTGTTGGATGATTACCGAACTTACCCTTGAGGTATTGGTTAATTACAAAATGAACCTAGTAATATCATGATAAATTGCGCACTCTGAAATAATGATCTAGTTTACATCAAGGGCTTGTCCAATTCATTTCAAATTGAAATACGTGATAACTAATCAAATCAAGCGAGCACCAAAACGCAAGTGTCTGTGTTTCAAGGGTCAATTTGCAATTATAGTGAATTACGCTGTGGTTTCTTGGCCACCGCCTTGGGAACCGGTGCTGAAGAAGATGCCAGCTGGCTTCCCTGCAAGTTGCTGTGTTCTCCACAGGCCTCCAGTGGCATCCATAAAGGCTTTGAATTGGGCCGCCATCATCCCAAATCTTGTTGGGAACCCAAAAATGAAGGCGTCAGCCTCAGAAAGCTCGTTAGGAGTGATAATGGGAACATCGCTTTTCGGAGGTGCACTCATTTTCGTGAGGGCCTCTTCTGGCAGTGTTTCTGGAACCTGTTTGTTTAATAATTCATTTCTCTTTAACGACAATAGAAATGATATAAATGATCCAAAAGCGTTGTTTCTCATTCCAATTCCTAAGAGAGAAAACAAGTAGCAGAAAAGTTAATCAGGACCTGCCATAGCTTGGCCTCGACTCCTTCAACCGATGCTGCTCCCTTCTGTATCTCTTGAGCTAGTTTCTCCACATGTCCATACATAGAATAGTATCTGTGAAATGAGAATGTGAGATTGTCAAAGCCAGTTTAGATAAATCACTGTCGACAAAAGCATAAGTGTACATCCGACAAACATATGGGCCAAAGTATTTTCACGGTTTCCTCAAACACATTCGACTGACATAAATCTACAATCACGGTACAGTTTAGGCAAAACATGCTTCATAGAATAAAATAAAGACAATTGCTAAATGGTAGCCAATAACCCAGTTTACAGCTTAAACGGATTCAAATAATTTAATGGTGAAAACCACAAATTGCTAAGGAAATCAATTTGAACAGCGCATAATGGATCCAAATTTTAAAAAAGGGTTCAAAAATGAAAAAGACAAATCAATTAAAAAGAAAAGAACAGCAATAATAAAGTGAAAGAAACAGGGAGCAAAATTACCAAGTGGAGCAAAGCTATGATCGGAGAATACATAGAATTTAATTTAAATAACGATAAAATATTCGAACTTACACAATGTAAACTTTGGTAACCATTGATTCTGCAAATGCTCTCCTTCGATCGGTTTATTCTGGAAATGGATAACAACAAGTTTGACAGATGAGAGTGAGGTTTTGAAATGGGGCCTCCTAATTTATAGTTCAAAAACCTCAGGTTAGTTATGCTTCCACAAGTGATCATTACTCTACCAATAACACATTCACTGAATAATTAACAAATGGAATTTAGAAATCAAAGAAGTCACTTTATTAAAGTTGGATAATTTTTTCTTGACATTTATACTTAAGATTTTTTTTTTATTTTTTTTTATAAGAATACGATATTATAAGATTGTTTCTATATGCTTATTTTACTTTCCTAAAATGAAAATTTCGAAGAACCAAAACGTATTTATTCTTAATTTAACATTAGATAATAATTAACTATTTGAATAGAATTTTACATTCAAAAAATTCTAATATTTTACATTCCAAAAATAATTTGATGAGTGTTTTCAAATAATGTGATACATGTCTAATTATTTTATTAGGTGTCCTTATACAAAATTTTTTAAAAAAAAATATTACAGCACATTGATAAAACTTGGAGTTGAAACTTAATTATTTTGGCATGGCGTCTCAAACAACCCTAATTAATTAATCAAAACAAAGAACACAAGATGACACGACGTCGTGGGAGATGAATTGAGGATGAAGCCGTGGACTTGAATGATGATGGGTGCTTGTCACGCTCACCATCATATTTCTTGTTGCAAACAAAATAAAGTGGGATATATTCAAGGTAATGCACCATATTAAACTATTTTATATTAACCAAAAAAAAAAAAAANAGATAATATATATATATATATATTTTTTTCCAACATCAAATTTCATTAACTAACAAAATACAAGTACAACATGTCCGAGTAATCAAACAGATTACATTACAGATTCCTAATGACTTGAAATCTGCTCCGGGGATTCATATGAATGTCCCCATAAAAACCATCTCGGTCAAACAAATATCACAAAATCAATAAGAAATTACAAGATTCACTATTGAACCCAAAAATATAATATCATCTACAAGAACAGACACATTAACCGGGCAGTTCGAGTTACATTTTAACAGATCAGCCATCTTATTATCTTGAAATCATACTTGTACTTTGCTCCATCCTTCTATCACCCCTGTTTCCAGCCACTCCCTTAGTCCTAGCAGCATGTCTTCCATTGATGTTTTGGCTTGATTTGTTTGAATGTCCCATCTTGCTACCACTTCATTCTGCACATAGGCCTGTCCTTGAGCAAACCAGGCTTTAGGTCTTGAATTAATAGCACTGACAGCAGTAACCTGCTGTCCTACTCCTAAACTCAGCCTAGATCCTTGTTGCTCCAAATGGTTACCTTCTCCAATAACTGTCATATTGTTTATCTCCTCATATTCCAACCATTCACTTTTAGCTTTCCGCACCAGGGTCCATTCATCCATTCTTTCACCCCTAAACACCCAGTTGTTCCTAGTGGTCTATAACCACCATAACAAATATGTGGACAAACTCACTCTATCCACATAATTATGGGCCCTGTCAATGTATGATATATCACTCCACCATTCCTGGAAACTTATCTGTCTGTTGTGCAGTTTTGTCCATGAGAGCCCAGCAATTTTCCATACTATTTCTGCCCTCTCACATGTGAAGAATATGTGTTCGATGGTTTCCTCTTCAACCCACACCAGCAGCAAACTTCATCCACTTCAAGCCCCTCTTTCTTGAGTTCTGATTTTGTACCAATGTAATTGAACCAACACCTCCACAAAAAGAACTTCAACTTGTGCTTAACAGGTAAGTCCCAGAGTTTCCTCCACATCAACTTGTTACTGCCCTTTGACGTGCTAGCCTCCTGTCCCTCTGAATTGTTTCTTTTTGTACTCAAAATCAGGTTGTATGCACTTTTTACTGTGAATTGCCCTCTTTTATCAGCTGCCCAAACTATCTTGTCCTTCACACCCCAATGACTCAAATGAATATTAAGGATATTTTCAGCATCATCAGGAGTGAAAGTCTGCCTGATCAATTCTTCATCCCAGCTCTTAGTACCTAGCAAAAACAAGTCAGACACCCAACACAATCTTTCCCTGTCTCTCTGACTTATACAAAATGGCCTAAATTTGGACTTTTTGGGATCCAAGGGGACTCCCAAATTTTCACAGACTGACCACTTCCTATTTGATATCTCATACCTAATCTAAGAGATGACCTCATTCCCAACCATCCCTTCCACATCCAAGAATCAGAACTTCTCTTAGATACATCCATTAAATTTTGATTATAGAAGTATTTACCCCTTACTACCTTACTCATAAGAAGATTTGGTTTGGTTAAAACCCTCCAAATCTGTTTAAGAATTAAGGCTTCATTCAAAATCCCAAATTCCCTAAACCCCAGACCTCCCTCCATCTTAGTTCTAGCAAGCTTATCCCAACATGCCCAGTGGATTCTATTCTTACCCTCCTCCCTCTGTCCCCACCAAAAATTGACAATAAATGTGCAAAGAACAGTCACCAGTTGATTACAAACAACCAACAACTGAATACTGTTAATCCACCAATTTTTAAAAAAGGAGCACCCCAATTGCATCATGGCTGCTGCTGTTTCTTGTGGAAAAAATATGCAGCACCATTTTGTTGAAAAATGGAGTACACACATGTTGAAAAATTGAGCATTTCCACTCTATAAATAGAGCTGGAATTGTGATGAAAAAAATGTACCACAACCAAAAAAGAAAAACACCAAGAACGAGAGAAGAAGAAAAAGAGTGAGCTAAAAAAAAATAATCTAGCTTTTGTGTGTATTTTTGAGTTGTGAGTTGTGAGTGAGTTTGAGAGTGTTTTGTAAACACGATTGTAATTTTTCTCCTAATAAAATATCTGCAGTAGTCTGGAGACGTAGACATTATTGGCCGAACTCCGTTATCAATTTGGCGTGTCCAATTTTTCTTTTTTATTTCACTTTTATAGATCCGACTTCATGGAAAATTCAGCGTATTTTTCTCAACAACTGGTATCAGAACCAGATTGTTAATTCTGTAATTTTTGTGTGGTTACTATTCCGTGAATAGTGCCAAATTTGTTGCGCTACAAATTTATCTACCAGCGTGATTTGAAACACGGTAGTTCACAAAAATTATCAGAAATGATCCGGCAGAGAAGTCAGATCAGAGACGAAGTAATGGCTGCAGATGAAGAAAAAATGAAAATTGAAAAGTTCGATGGTGCGGGCTTTGGCTTTTGGAAGATGCAGATCGAGGATTATCTGTACCAAAAAAATATGTATCAACCACTCACAGGAAAGAAGCCAGAGGACATAAAGGAGGAAGAATGGAGTCTCCTTGACTGACAAGCTCTTGGAGCCATTCGGCTGACGTTAACCCGTAATGTTAGAAAAGACGACAGCAAGCCACATAAAGGCTCTTCCAACATGTACGAGAAACCATCAGCCTCAAATAAAGTTCATTTGATGAGGCGATTGTTCAATCTTCGGATGACCGAAGGTGCTCCGGTGGCACATCATCTCAATGAGCTCAACACTGTTACAACACATTTGAGTTCAATTGAGATCGAGTTCGATGATGAAGTACAGGCTTTAATACTTTTGTCTTCCCGACCAGAAAGTTGGAATGCTACTTTCACGGCTGTGAGTAGCTCATCGGGAAGCAATAAGTTGAGATTTGATGATGTCCAAAATTTGGTTCTCAGTGAAGAGATCCGACGGAGAGAGTCGGGTGAACCATCAACCTCTTCTGTATTGCATACAGAGTCAAGAGGAAGAAGTTCATCCAAAGAAATCAAACACAACAAATCAAAGGAAAGAAGATCCAAGTCCAAAAATCATCGTAGTTCCCAAAACTCGAAGTCGATCGAGTGTTGGAATTGTAAGAAGCCCGGGCACTACAGAAACCAGTGCAGGAGTGCATCGAAGAATCAGAAGGCAAAAGAAGAGGCAAATATTGCTTCAGCCTCTGGTGGAGATATGTTGATATGTTCTTTGGAGAACAAAGAAGAGTCTTAGGTGTTAGACTCTGGAGCATCCTTTCATGCTACCTCACAGAAGGAACTACTAGAAGATTATGTTCCTGGTAACCTTGGTAAAGTTTACCTTGGTAATGAGCAATCATGTGAAGTTGTAGGGAAAGGTGCAATAAAAATCAAGCTGAGCGGGTCTGTATGGGAATTGAAAAATGTCAGATATATTCCCGACCTGACGAAGAATTTAATCTCTGTGGGTCAACTAGCCAGTGAAGGCTACACGACAATCTTCCATGGTGATGATTGGAAGATTTCAAAGGGTGTGATGATAATTGCTCGAGGCAAAAAGAGTGGTACTCTTTACAAGACAACATGAGCATGTCATCTGATTGTAGTTGCAACAAATGAAAATCCCAATCTATGGCACCAAAGACTTGGGCATATGAGTGAAAAAGGGATGAAGATCATTCACTCAGAAGGAAACTTACTAGGCCTCCAGTCAATAGAAATTGACATGTGTGAAGGTTGTATACTTGGAAAGCAAAAGAGAGTCAGCTTTCAGATAAGTAGAAGAACTCCAAAGAAGGAGAAGCTTGAGCTCATCCACTCTGATGTTTGGGGTCCAACGACTATCCCATCCGTTGGTGGAAAGCAATACTTCATGACTTTTATCGATGATCACTCCAGAAAGTATGGGTTTACTTTCTGAAACACAAGTCAGAAGTATTTGAAGCTTTCAAGATTTAGAAAGCTATGGTGGAAAATGAGACAGGCTTGAAGATCAAAAAGCTCAGATCCAACAATGACGGTGAATATGTAACCACCAGATTCAAGAAGTTTTGCTATGAGCACGGGATCAGAATGGAGAGAACCGTGCTTGGTACGCCTCAACACAATGGTGTAGCTGAGTGTATGAATCGAACATTGACTGAAAGAGCCAGAAGCTTGTGTGTGTAGTCAGGCCTACCAAAGCAGTTCTGGGCAGAAGCAGTCAACACAACAACTTACTTGATCAACCGAAGTCCATCGGTACCATTGGATCACAAGTTACCAGAAGAGGTATGGAGCGGAAAAGAAGTAAAACTCTCACATCTTAGAGTTTTCAGGTGTGTTGCATATGTGCACATCAGTGATCAAGGTAGAAACAAACTTGATTCAAAATCAAAGAAATGTACTTTTCTTGGTTATGGTGAAGATGAGTTTGGCTACCGCATATGGGATGATGAAAACAAAAAGATGATCTGCAGCAGAGATGTCATCTTTAATGAAAGAGTGATGTACAAGGACCGACATAATACAAGTGCCAGTAACTCAGAAACGAGTGGGCCAGTTTATGCAGATGTGGAAGATATCTTAGATAGTCCTATAATGAGAAGTCCTCAGTCAGAGGAATCAAATGAAGAAAGTGATGTACAAACAGAACCTCCTACTCCAGCTCTTGTATTGAGAAGATCCTCTCGGCCCCATGTGCCTAACAGGAGATACATGGACTACATGCTGCTGACTGATGGAGGGGAACCTGAAAATTACATGGAAGCTTGTCAAACCACGGATGCTAGCAAGTGGGAGCTTGCCATGAAGGACGAAATAAAGTCTTTGATCTCAAATCAGACATGAGAACTAGTCAAGTTACTATGGGAAAGAAAGCACTTCACAACAAATGGATGTATCAAGTGAAGGAAGACCATGAAGGTTCCATGAGGTACAAAGCCCGACTGGTTGTCAAAGGATTTCAGCAGAAAGAAGGAGTTGACTACACTGAAATCTTTGCTCCAGCTGTAAAGCTCAATACTATCAGGACTGTGTTAAGTATTGTGGCTAGCAAAGAGCTCTACCTAGAGCAATTAGACGTGAAGACTGCATTTCTTCACGGAGACCTAGATGAGGAGATCTATATGCACCAGTCTGAAGGTTTTTCAGAAGGAAAGAAGGATATGATGTGCAAATTGAAGAAGAGCTTGTACGGCGTGAAACAAGCTCCAAGACAGTGGCATAGGAAGTTTGATAGCTTCATGCACAAGGAAGGTTTCCAGAAGTGCAATGTTGATCACTGTGGCTTCTTTAAGAAATATGAGTCTAGCTATATCATCTTGCTACTTTATTTTGATGACATGTTAGTAGCTGGATCAGATATGAAGGACATCAGAAAATTAAAGATGTAGTTGTCAAAAGAATTTGACATGAAGGATTTAGGCCCAGAAAAGAAGATTCTTGGAATGCAAATCACGATAGATAAGCAAAAGGGAGTTTTGCAGTTACTCAGGCAGAGTACATCAACCGTGTCTTGCAGAGAATTAATATGGACAAGGCCAAACCAGTCAGTACACCTTTGGCCAGTCATTTTCGTCTATCTAAGGACCAGTCTCCTCAAACAAAGGAAGAAGAAGAGTTTATGGCTAAAATTCCTTATGCTTCAGCCATTGGAAGTTTGATGTACGCGATGGTCTGTACGAGGCCAGACATTGGTCATGCAGTGGGAGTTGTGAGCAGGTTTATGTCAAAACCAGGAAAAGCTCATTGGGAAGCAGTCAAAAGGATTTTGAGATATCTACGGGGTACAACAGAAAAATATTTGTACTTTAGAAAAGGAGATCTAAAGTTACAGGGCTACGTAGATGCAGAATTTGGAGGTGAAGTTGATCACCGAAGAAGCACCACCGGTTATGTTTTCACTGTCGGAGCTACAGCTGTTAGTTGGATGTCGCGGATACAGAAGATTGTTGCTCTATCCACTATAGAGGCTGAGTATGTAGCAGTGACAGAAGCCAATAAAGAATTGATATGGCTTCAAGGATTATTAGCAGAGTTGGGTTTCACTCAAAAAGACAGTGTCTTGCACAGTGACAGTCAGAGTGCAATAAATCTGTCAAAGAACTCAGTGTTTCACTCCAGAACTAAGCACATTGATATACGTTATCATTTCATCAGATGTCTTCTCGAGGATGGAGTGTTGACTTTGAAGAAGATTGTAGGAAGCAAGAACCCAGCAGATATGCTAACGAAGGTGGTGACCATTTCAACTTCAGTTGGCTTGTTAGAGTAACAGACTGGAGAAGACTACTGCAGTAATTGAGGTGTGAGGATAGATTGAAATCAGTCCTCAAGTGGGAGATTGTTAATCCACCGATTTTTAAAAAAAAAGGAGCACCCCAATTGCATCATGGCTGCTGTTGTTTCTTGTGGAAAAAATTGCAGCACCATCTTGTTGAAAAATGGAGTACACACATGTTGAAAAATTGAACATTTCCACTCTATAAATAGAGCTGGAATTATGATGAAAAAAATGTACCACAACCAAAAAAGAAAAACACCAAGAACGAGAGAAGAAGAAAAAGAGTGAGCTAAAACAAAATAATCTAGCCTTTGTGTGTATTTTTTAGTTGTGAGTTGTGAGTGACTTTGAGAGTGTTTTGTAAACACGATTGTAATTTTTCTCCTAATAAAATATCTGCAGTAGTCCGAAGACGTAGGCATCATTGGCCGAACTCCGTTATCAATTTGGCGTGTCCAATTTTTCTTTTTTATTTCACTTTTATAGATCCGACTTCATGGAAAATTCAGCGTATTTTTCTCAACAAATACAAACAGCCAATAGCTGAAAAAGTGGGAGGACAGGTCAAAAGACCGCCTAGAACCGACCCCAACGGGGTAATACTCAAAAACACTACAAAACACAAAAAACAACACAACACAAAGACCCCAACAGAGTAATACCCGAGTGTCGGGCCCCAACAGGGTAATAAGGTGACACTCGGGCTCACAGAGGCCAACGGCCCAAACCCAAAACACAGGGACAAACACCAAACACGAATGACATACTAAAAAAACTATTACTACTACTACAATCCTTCCCACAACAGAAAACTTCATCAAACACAACAATGGCGGTCAAGGCCGAGGACTCGATTCAGAAACTGCAAGAGAATGCCTAACTGGATCGAGAACCATCGAACCCAACCTTGGTCCAGACGGACAACACCACAAGACCCGGAAACCCGCACCCCAAAAAGCCGCCCAACTGTCCACACCCGACTCGGGCCGAGATTGTAACAACCCAGCCCGAGGCCACACATCAACTGTCGACTCCTCTGCCCGACGACCTCGAGTGCACCCCCGCTGGCTCAGCAGTGTACCAATACCTGCTCGACCCCCAATTGCACCCCCGAAGACCACCCGACGAGAGGAGAAAAGAACGGTCAGAGATGGCATCTCCACCCCAAACCCTAAATTGGAAAAATTGGGGCTGCAACCACCCTCAAGAGGACGTCGGAGGACCGCCGCAACGAAGATTCCGTTGAAAAAGGCAGTCCGCCACACCCGGCGAAGACCGAAAATCAGAACGGAACCACCATCTCCCCAGCGCAGAAGAACCCCTCTCATCGGCGCATCTCTCGAAGCCGGCCACGTGGTCCTGCTGCGTCCCACCGTGTGCCCGACGAGCCCCGCTGGGGAAGGCGACGAAGCAAACCGACGGAGAAGCTGAGATTTGAGTAGCGACGATTTGGGGATTTTCCTTAGAGAGAGAAAATTGTCTGTCTCAAATTTTCTCAGTTTCCTATATTTATTTTTTGATTATTATAAAAAGTTATTGCTAAAATAAAAATTTTATTTAAACATTTTGATAGACTAATTAATGAAAAAAGAATAGACAGTGCAGAAAGAAATTTGCAAATTGTAATTTAGGTGATAAATATGAGAGAAAATTATAAGATGGTAAGATTGCTACTTGCGCAAAAAGAAGAAAATTTGTACTAAGAGAAAAAAATAACAAAACTAAATGCACATTTATCACATTTGAAAAAGTTATTTATGTCTATACCAAGCTTAATACCAAGTCTAATTCCAAAAAAAAAAAATTAATATACAAACAACATTTTGAAGCATAAATTTTTGCCATGTCAGCATCTGAAACGTGTGAGTCTGTCATTTAGGCTCAACGCGTTTTGAATTAATATATAAGGAGGGATTATTGATTTGAGTTAATATAATTTTAAAAATCATATGATTTACATTAATATTACAATAACTAAAACTAATTCCGACAATATGCACACTATGAGAAACATTTTTGTTGGGATGAGTTAAAATCATCAGTGGGTGGACTAGAATAATGAAAGCGTCATATTTTTCATGATTCGTTCTGTTAATGTCAAGAACTCGAGTATGGTTTGACGTGTTGAGGGTGCAATTATCTGAATATTGACCTTTATCAATTGACTTTTTGCAAACTTTTTGGTGTGGACAATAACATTTGGTTAGTACCAAGGCACAATCGCACAAGGTTGCAACTTGACTTGTGAAAGTTGCTTCAAATTATTCAACAAATTTCCTGTATAATTTCACACAGGATATTTAAGATATTTTGACAGATTTTACATCTGAAGTCCTTGAAACTTTAAAAGGGGTGACATAAAAGTTTATGTCGAAATTTTAAGCCCGGTTAAATTATGAAGAAAACCATTAAAATTGATGAGCCTCTAAATGTAAAAGTAAGATTTACTTGATTTCAATTTTCAGATTTGATGATTTCGCAAAGGCCCACAGAAGGAGTGCAAGAAAAAACCGGCTTTTGCATCAAGAAGCCAACCAAACTTTGATAATTTGAAGGTCTCTGATTTCCGTGCTAACAAAGCCAACAAATTGACCGAGCCGTTAATTCAACTTCATCTTGTATCCATACTATACTCATTCTACCAGCCCTTATCCCGTGCTAGTATTAAAATTATTATTATAAATTAAAGGCCTAATTGCTAAAAAAAACCATGATTTTTCTGGTTTTTACAAACAAAACCAAACTTTTTAGCAAATCTATACACTACTCTGACTATTTTTTGGGGTAAAAACCTTTTTACCATCCGAACTATCACGATTTTGACGTTTTGTCATATGAACTTTTTTTTTGACAAATCACCATCTGAACTACGCGGGTTCGTCAAATTGCTCACTATACCAGGTTTAAGTCCGGTTTCACCTCATTGAAACCGGTTTTTTATGGTATTTTAGAAATTTCGAGTATTTAAAAAAAATAAAAAATAAAAAAAGAAAACTAAAGAAAACCAAATGTCGAGAATTCTGCACCCCCTCTCCGTCTACTGCCCGGGCCTTCAGGACTCTGATTTCGGGCTCGATTGCGAGCTCGGGCCCGACAAGAATTACCTCGAGCAAAATTATTCTGGCCGAACGAATTGCCGCCGTCGTCGAGGTCAAGGAGGAGGTCGAGGTTGCGGAGGACGTCTGCATCAATGGTGACGACAAAAAAACCGAGGAGCGTGAGGGAGAGGCCGATGTTGGCGGTGGTGGTGTTCTTGTCGCCTTTGTCGGAGGTGATGACCACGACGCGTGGGGTCTCGCCGAAGTGTTGCGGCTTGCAGATGTGCTGGAGGAGGCTCCAATTGGGGCCGGGACTAGGGTTTTGCTCGGCTCTCTGAGGGATTTTTTAGGGTTAAGATGCGACGGCGAAGGTTTGCAATGGTGTTGAGGCTTAGTTGACACCGGTGGGTTCAAGTTGGGGTACAAATTTCCTTAATTTGTTTTTCCAAAAGAAAAATAAAATTGAATAAAAAATGAGTTAGTAGTAAATAATTAGACAAGAAAGAGTGTTTAATTTGTTATATTTGAATAGTTTATATATTATGATTTTGGGTACTTTTGCAATATTTAAAAAAATTGTAATTCCCGAAATGTCCTTGTAAATCAGCTTAATGGTTACAAAACCACTTTAAGTGCGGTTTTGGAGGGCAAAGTGAGAAAAAAAAAAAAAAAAAGTTTATATGGTAAAGCGCCAAAATCGCGATAGTTCGGATGACAACATTTTTTTACCCTATTTTTTGCAACACGAGTGGCCAGGCCCAATTTTGGGTCTTTTCAGCTGAAATGGCGTAATATTTTTAAAAAACTTGATTTTTGTGATGAATTTTTTTTTCTACATTAAATGTTGGTGTTGTGTGTGAAACAAAGTTTTTTCGGACACATTGACTTATTTTTTCTATTTTATTCTCTAGTTACTCTTCTTTATTTTTTTATACTTAAACTTTTGTTTCAAAACTTGAATTTTGAGATGAAAATATATTTTTCACATTAAATGGTGGTGTTGAGTGTGAAAACAAGTTTTTTCGCACACATTGACTTTTTTTTTTCTCAATATACTATTTTTCATGGATTTTTTTAATGCTTAATCTTTTGTTTTCCACATTGAATGGTTGTTTTGTGTTAGAATCAAATTTTTTTCGGACACATTGACTTATTTTTTTATTTTGGTCTCTATTTAATATGTTTCATGACTTTTTTTAACTTAAACTTTGGTTTCAGACTTGATTTATGCGATGAAAATATATTTTCTACATTAAATGTTGGTGTTGTGTTTGAAACTAAGTTTTGTCATGCATGATGTATTTTTCTATTTTGGTCTTTATTTGTTATTTTTATTGTTTTTTTTAATGCTTAAACTTTTGTTTGAAAACTTGTTTTTTGCAATAAAAATATGTTTTTCATATTAAATGTTGGTGCTGTGTTCGAAACCAAGTTTTTTCATGCACATTGACGTATATTTTTATTTTGGTCTCTATTTACTATTTGTCATGTCATTTTTTAATGCTTAAACATTTGTTTCAAAACTTGATTTTTGCGATGAAAATATGTTTTCCACATTAAATGTTGTTGGGTTCGAAACCATATTTTTTCATGCACATTGACGTATTTTTCTATTTTGGTCTCTATTTACTATTTGCCATGTCTTTTTTTAATGCGTAAAACTTTTGTTTCAAACTTGATTTTTACAATAAAAATATGTTTTCCACATAAACATTGGTTTTGTGTGCGAAACGAGTTTTTTCGGACGCATTGACTTTTTTTTTTTCATCGCCAAAATCAAGTTTTTGAAAATATCACGCTATGTTAGCTTAAAAAGCCCGAAATTTGGCATGGCGACTTGTGTTGCAAAAAATAATTAAAGTGGTGTATAGATTTGCTAATTTAAAAGTTTGGTTTTGTTTCCAAAAACTGAAAAAGGTCGTGGTTTTTCTAGCAATTAAGCCTAAATTAAATATTAAGTTATGATTATTTTTAAATAAAATTACCCATTACCGTGAAAATTGAGGATCGTACATTAGTTTAAGACAAATGCTACATTGACAATCTAGTGTACAACTAAGTTGACAACACAAGTGAAAACATCTACAAAAATAAAAATAAAAGAAATACACAAATAAATGCTTCTACTTGTGTTGTCAATTTAGTTGTACACTAGGTTGGCTATATATCATTTTTCTTAGTTTAAACTTAAAATAAGACTACCACCGTCATTTAAAATAAGACTACCATCATCATGAAAATTGAGAGGAGCGGTTACATGTAAATTCCTTAACCTCATGAAAGATAAATAAAAATACTAAAATGAATGCTATTTTTTGAAAACATGTTCAAATAGGACAGCAGCATGGAAACATGCACTATTGTCGTACCAGCTAATGCGATTTGCTCCTCCACTTTTAGTCATGAAACTATCATACTTTCATACTTAATTAACCAACCAGTTCCTCAGTATACCTTTGTATCTTATTACCCAAAAGCACATTTCTCTACACTCCATAAAACAATACTGGAAACCCTTAAGCTGCTTCTTTCACCTAAAGCCAAAGGACAAAAAGAAGGAAAAAAAGAATCAATAGTATCACAAGTACAAAAGCATTAGAAATGTTTTTTAAAAAAAATAGAATTGTTTACAAATAAACTGAAATCATTAAAGAATCTTTCCACTACCACTTGAACAATATTCCATCCAATATGCTGATTCCTACCGACCATCCGCATATTCTGACAAGCCTACCTCGACAACTCCCTCACCTAACAATACCAGTACAAAATCTGATTCACAACAATGAAATGCACATGATTCACCCTACTGAAAGATTATTAGAGGGTCTTATCCCAGACTTTATCATGCCAGCAAGAAGATTATCAGCCTCTTCACATTTCCCATCACCCAAAAGCACTTGAATCGTCATGTTGTAACTTGCTGCATTAGGCCTCATCCCCTTCTCATCCATTTCACATAGCAGCTTCAGCGCCTTGTACGAGCTGCCTTCTCTGCAGTACCCGTAAATCATTGTATTGTATATCACATCATTCGGCTCGACTCCTTTGTCGGCCATCATTTTAAATAATTTCGATGCCTCTCTCATATTTCCTTGGCTACACCACCCATTTATCAACACCCCATAAGTGCAAACATCCGCAACTAGATTATTTTTCTTCATGTTGTCGAGGACTTGAAGCGCCTTTTCCATGTTTGATCGAGCACAGAAATCAATAAGTATGGTGTACGTGACCTTCGAAGGGTGAATGCCTCTCTCGTCCATCTCGCGCACAAACTCCATAACCCGTTTTGGGTCCTGATTTCTAGCGCATGCCACAATCAATACGTTATATGTAACTACTGAAGGAGACAAACCGAAAGATTTGATTTTGTCAAACAAGCTTAGAGCTTTGTTTAACATCCCAGCACGACAGTACCCGTCTATCAACGAGTTCAGTGTGATTATATTCGGGCTCAAACCAAATTTTCTCATCTCATCCAATAATTTGTTAGCCTCTCTCATTTTGCTCTTTAAACAGAGTCCCTCGATTAAGATGTTGTAAGTCACAACATTGCGTGTCACCCCTCTATGACTCATCTCGTCAAAGAGTTCAAATGCTTTGTGCATTTCGCCGTTTTTACAGTATGCATTGAGTACACAGTTATAAGTATGCAGGTCAGGAAGCACCCCTTCACTCTTCATTCTCTCATAAAGCTCGAATCCGAATTTATCGAAATCTTTCCTGAAAAACCCATTTATCATAACAGTGTACGTGTGCTGATTAGCAGCCAAGCCCAGATCACCCATTTCAGAAAATAATTTTTTCGCCCTCCCGACATCTCCCTTCCTGAAGCAGCCATCAATCAACGTAGTGTACACGACGACAGTAGGACTAAATCCCATTTCTTGCATTTCAGTCAGAACTTTGAATGCTCTATCCAAACTGTCATTCTTGCAACAGCCCTTCACTAAAATTCCGAAAGTATACGCATCATATGCAAACCGTCCCCTATTTTTCTCAAAAACCCACAATGCCTTTTCGAAATCACTGCCATCTATAAGACTTTTCAGCACTGCATTGAATGTAACTGGTTTCGGCACAAGCCCTTTATCAATCATTTCATCAAACAGGTAAAAGACTCTGTCAATCGGCTGCTCGGCTTTCACATGAGCATTGATGATGGTTTCATACATGAGGGATTCCTGTGAATTACGAGTCAAGTCCGAAAGTAGAGATGAGATGGTGAACAACGGAGACGTGATCTTGCCCGTGAGTAACCGGATGACGAGAGACTGGGCTTGCGGGAGCATGTTGGAAGAGAGAAGGTGGCTTATGGCTATAGATACGGATTGGTGTGTGTGGACAAGGTTTTCGAACTCCGAGGATGAAAAGAGAGAAAGCGCTTTCAGAGGTGGGGATTTCAGCACAGTGGGAAGAAGAACAAGCAGTTGATGGTGTTTGGTTCTCGAGTTAGACATTTTCACAAACAGGTTGCGGGCAGTTAAAAAGTTTGTGTTCGAGACTCAGTTCATTTGCAAATTTGACTACGAACTATATTCCATTGTACCTAAATCTGCAAAATAATCAAAACAGAGAAGACGAGTTCAAACTTCTTAATCTACCACAATAAGCAGTTAATTCATACAATGGTGCGCATGGATGCCGTGGAATTTTTTGTTACTTTTGTATATGGAAGCCCTAACATACAGGGTCGTCGTGCTTTATGGCGTGAGTTAAGAGTAAAGGTGCTGAGAGTGAATGAGCCGTGGTTGCTGGGAGGAGACTTCAGTAGTCTTCTTCGATCATCGGAAAAGCAAGGCGGCTCATCTAGAAATCATCATACTAGAGCGGGGATTGCAGAGTGGATGTTTGAGAATTGCTTGGAAGAAGTTCCCATGGATGGTACCAAATTCACGTGGTTTTGGGAAGACCTTTCAGAGAAATTGGATCGCTTTGTTAGCAAAGAGCAATGGTTGGACATATTCCCGGACTGTGTTGTCCGTCATCTTGCTGGTATGGCGTCGGATCACTTACCTCTCTTGGTTTGCGTCGGCGGACAGATATGCAGGAGTACTCACTCGAAGCCGTTCCGTTTCGTTTTCTACGCACGGAAAGAGGGAATGTAAAATGGGTAGCTCGGCCATGGAATAAAAATATTTTTGGCAACATTTTTAAGAGGAAAAAGAAAACGTTCTGGCTCGGCTTTGTAGGAAAGAATCCAACGTTGTGAACTTGGGGACCGAAAACTGGTTAACCGAAATTTCGGTCTGTCAAACATGAAAACCGAAAACCGAACTGAAACTTGTGGTTCGGTTCGATTTCAAATAAAAAATCTATCGGTTGGATCAATTCGGTTACTGATTAGTCAAAAAAGTGAAAATCTAGAACTAGTGAGTTACAAAA